TACAAAAGTAAATTCCCTGAATAGATAGCAATAGAAAGTAAAGAAAGAGGTGAAAGCTTCTCTATGAACCTTTCTCTTTTTGCAGATTTCAATAGAAAAATAGCTAGCTGCTCTCTTGCTGCAGGGGGCGTGGCTCAGAACACAACAGACGAAATGATTGAACAACATTTCAGGCAATATGGCCCAGTTAAATTGGTTGATTTGAAAAAGGACAAGCTGAAAGGCGGTAGGAGCAGAGGGTTCGGGTTTGTCTGTTTTGAAAATCCAGAGAGTGCGCTGAGGGCCCAGCAACAGAGTCATCAGGAGATCAATGGAAAAATGGTTGAAGTGAAGAAGGCTGAGGTTAGGGATTATAAAAAGTATGATCAAAATAGACAGCAGCAGCTACGCCAACAAGGGCACCATGATGTGTACGGCGGCCAGCCTGGTTATGGTGCTGACTACAGCAGGAATCCTCCAGATTTCCATCAACCCTATAATCCTCCTTATGGCGGCACCCAATCACAATATGCCGGATATTATGGATATGGTAATAATAGTGCTGGCAGTTACGGCCAGGGTTCTTACTCAGCTTATCAAAGTGGGCCCCAGGATTATCCTTATGGCGGACGGGGGAATTCTTATGGAGGCAATCAGGACTACAGTTACATGAGAGGGTTTACCGGAGGCACACAGCAAGTTCCTGGGTATCATCATCATCCCCCGGGACCCCTCCCACCTCCCCCACCCCCTCAAGATGGGGGGGCACCCACCGGATTCACTCAACCACGCAGTACTTACACTTCAACAGCTGACACCTTCTCAGGTCATCCTCCCAATACATACGGAGGTTACAGCACTCCTTCAGACTATAGCCAGTACAGTTACACTGATCAGTCGGTTCCAGCTGCTACTCCTGCTAATTATGGGCGGGGCACTGCCCGGCCAACTGGCCCTTATAATTATGGAGGACGATGAACATGATTGCCAATGACCTTCTTTTGTCTATTAATTAATTAAATAATTATTTTTTGTAAAAGCCCCCCCCCCAAAAAAAAAAAAAAAGAAACATGATAAAAGAGTGGTACAGTAGTTTACTGTCCGATACCACACCTATTATAGGTGGAGTCTTTAACAATGGCGATGGCGAGCACATGTGAGAAGTCTGACTTAAAAAGTCGGCTTTTTAGAAGTACAGGATCAACAATTGTGACCTCTTCTTGTAAGTTAAAACATCTAAACAATATAGATTTTAAAAACTATCAGTCTTTTACATCTAGCTGATTGTTAATTTCTTCTGACACTGTAGGCACCCAGGCTCGTGATGCAGCCAATAGCGGTAGACCTGACAAGTACAAGTCGTGGACTGACTCTAATCTTTATAAAGCGTATTTGGCTGTTCAGAAGGATGGAGTTTCCGTTAGAAGAGCTGCTGAAATGTATAACGTTCCGAAATCAACTTTGCACGACAGGATTAGTGGTCGTGTACAG